TGATTTAAGACAACAAGAACCCCACCCAGGATGTGGGTGGGGAGTGGTCTGGTATGTTTGGATATGTTTTGGTATAGTCTAGTGCGTGACAGTCTAGTAAGTATGATATTGGTAGGGTGTGGCAGGTATGTTCTGGCACAGGTGAAGGAAGCCGAAAAAGAGAAGGAGAAGGAAAAGGAAAAAGAGAGGTGGTCTTCAGGAGCACAAGAACCTTATTCAGGGTGTGGGGAGAACCCTAAAAACATATGGGAACGAATTGGGAATCCTTGTATGTGTGTATTTACGTGTGTGTCCCAGGGCCCCTTCAAACAAAAACGCCCAAAGATCCCTCTCAAGTTTCGAAGGCTCGCGAAGGTGTTCCGACTCGGCACGCCCCTCACAGACGCGCGCGTCGTTGGGACCCTCTCGGGGTGACCAGCATGCGTTGCGGGAGCTTCGGGCTGCGCTCAGCCCAGCGCCTCGCTCGCCAGTCGTCGCTATGCCCGGCTTCCAGAGCCTTGCCCGCTGTCAGCCAGCCAGCAAGCTCCTTTTGTTCCGCGCAGCAGACGACCCACGCGCGTCGCTGGGACCCTTCGGGGCGACCGGCTGTTGTCGCGGGAACTCCGCGCTGCGTTGCGCGAGCAGCCTGGGACACAGGAGCGCGCGGGCAAAGAGGGAAAACAAGAAGAGAAGTCCCATCCAGGACTGTCTAAGAGTCTAGCTTGCTACCCTGCCCCAGCGAATAGATTTCGAACAGAGGAATCCGCGCCGAAAGCAGCATAGGGAGCTCCACCGAATTTCTGGTGGCAGCGCCCGCGCGCCGCCGCCATCCCAATTTGGCACAACCTCACGTTTTGCGCGCCCCCCCCCCCAAACAAAAAAACACCGAAGAGGTTGTGCACGCTTGCGGTGCCCGCAGCTGCTTATGGTCGGGCCCATTGCCACGCTAATGTGGTTGTTGCTGTTGTTGTTGTGGTTAATGAACTTTCGTTTCTGCAAGATGATTATTGTTGATCCCCCCCGCCCGGTGTACATGGTATTGTTTCGATTGGGGTGCCCCTCTCAGGGCTCGCGCCCGGCTTCTTCTGAAGGAAAGTCACGAGGCTCAAACTGTGCCGTGGGCGTCCAATCTACAACAACAACAACCTGATAGTTCCTCACGATTGATTGAAGAATCGCGCTCTCGGTTTGGACCTTCTGGGAATTCGCCACCGAATCGCGGCTCCGGCCGGATACTTCCAGACAGTGTATTGCAGAATCGCGCTCTCGCTTGGAACTCCTTCGCAAATTACCACCGAACCGTTTCGTTTAATATTTCTTCACAATTTATTCGGATGCAGGTCCTCGGAATCACGCTCCCGCTGCACATCGCCTTGCGGTTCAAGCAGGACCCACGCTTCAACAACCCGCCCGTTCGACCCGCCCGTCGGGGCCCGACAAGCCCGTTAATGACTGCAGTCGCCGCTCGCTGCCCTTCGCCCGCCTTCGATGCCCCTCGCTGCCCGTACTGGCTCCGCGGTCGCCTTCGTTCGCTGCCCTTCGTGACCCCGTTGCTGCCCCCAGTGGCCCCGTCGCTGCCCTCTGTGGCACCGTCTTGTATGTCCTTCGTGGCCCCCGCTCGCACGCGCCCGCCGTGGCCCCATACGCATGCCCTTCGTATCCCCGCTGTCGCCCTTCGTGACCCCCTCGCTGCCCGTCGTGGCCCCTTTGGTGCCACAGTGGCCCCGTAAACGAATAATGCCCTTCGTGGCCCCCGTTCGCTCGCGTCCGTCGTGGCCCCATATGCATGCCCTTCGTGGCGCTGCTGTCGCCAGTTGTGGCCTCCTCGCTGCCCTTCGTGGCCCCGGTGCTGCCCTCAGCGGCCACGTCGCTGCCTTTTGTGGCCTCGGATTTTATGCCTTTCGTGGCCCACGCTGGTTTTTGTTCACGAATTACCTGGGATCGCGCTATCGCTCGAAATTTCCTCGCGATTAATGCACGACCCACGCTTCAGCAACCCGCCTTCTCGACCTCGTTGCCCGGGCCCGCCTTCCCGACCTGCCCGCTGTGAGTCTGCCCGCCCGATCTGCCCGCCTGGTTGTTCCACCTGTGTTCTGCTCCTTGTCCCCCTCCTGCTTACTTCTCCCTCGCTCCATTATTCTCCCTCCCCCTTCGTCCCGTCCTCTCTTCCCTTTGTTTGAGGGGCTGCACTAAATGCGCGTGGCAGGTAAGAAAGATATGCCCCAAAGGGGGCACGATCGAAGACGACAAGGGCGGGTACGGAGGTCTTGGGAGATACCTATTGATGGGCACGTGAGCAGATGAGAGCGAACAGTCTTACAATGATTGGTGTTGTTGTTATGTTGATTGTTGTTGCTGTTGCGGTTGTTCGTGTTGGTGTTGTTGTTGTTGTTGATGAGCTCTCGCTACTGAAGAATAATTGCTGTTGATGCCCCCCTCAAGTGACCACTGTGTTTTTGTTCAATTGAAGTGCTTCCCCCTGGGTTCGCACCTTGTTTTCCAGGGAAACTCATTCGGCTTGAACTGTGCCCCTGGCCCCCGGTTTACAACAACCATGGCTCCAGAGGGATACTCCCTCACAAGTTATTCCCAAATCGCGCTCTCGTGCGGGACGTCTTCGCAATTTGTATACGAATCGCGCTCTCGCGTGGGACTTCCTCGCAGTGTATTCAGACGATGCGCCCTCGGCGCTCAGGAAGTACGCTGTTGCGCTGGCTGTTCACAAGATTTACTTGGGAATCGCGCTATCGTTTGAGACTTCCTCGCGATTCACGCAGGATCCACGCTTCAGCAACCCGCCTGCTTGACCTCGTCGCCTGGGCCCGCCTTCCAACCTGGCCGCTATGGGTCTGCCCACCTGATCTGCCCGTCTGCTTCTACCACTTGTTTTCTGCTCTCTGTCCCCCTCCTGCTAATGTCTCCATTGCTCCATTCTTCTCCCTCACCCTTCCACCCTTGTTTGAGGGGCTGCACTAAATGCGCGTGGCAAGAAGATATACCCCAGGGGGGCACGATCGAAGACGACGAGGGCGGGTACGGAGGTCTTGGGATATACGTATTGATGTGCACGTGAGCAGATGGGAGCGAACAGTGTGACAATGATTGTTATTTTTGCGGTTGTTGTTGTGGTTGGTGTTGTTGCTGCTGTTGCTGTTGGTGTTGTTGCTGTTGATGATGAGCTCCCCGTACTGAAGAGTAGTTATTATTGACGATCCCCTCTCAAGTGACCATTGTGTCTTTTTCAAATGAAGTGTTCCCCCCCGGGCTCGCTCCCTGTTTTTTCCAGGGAAAGTCATTCGGCTCAAACTGTGTTGCTGGCTCGAGGGGAGAGGCTTCCAACCCGGGGAGGTGGCTCGAGAGCCCCCGGGAGGCGCCGCGGAAAAGAGGATGCCCCCCCCTTCGGAGGAGGAGAGGAGGAGGAGGAGAGGAAGGAGGAGAAGGAGGAGGTGCAGGAGCAGGAGGAGGAGGAGGAGGAGCAGGAGGAGTAGGAGGAGGAGGAGGAGGAGGAGAAGGAGCAGGAGGAGGAGGAGGAGGAGGTTAGGCCTCTCGGAGGAGTTCGGAAGAGTTCTCGGGAAACAAGCAATGGCATGAACATAAAAAAAAACATTAGCATTTCTTGGGTCCGCGCTGGACCCCCCTCCCTGGCGCGCGGGGCGGCGCAGGGGGCGGCGCCGGGGGCGCCGCCATTGGGCCCCAGCGCGGATCCGGGAAACCCGCGCGGACCTCCGAGTTTTGATGTTTGTGTCATTGCTTGTTCCCCTAAGTTCTTCATCCCGTTCGGTCCCGCCCTCGAGGCCGATCAACAACTCGCATCGCTCGGACGTGTGCATGTTCCTCGGCGGGGACTATCGAGGAGCATGCTGGACCATCTGGCACAAGAAGCACGCGCGAAATCGGCAGATGCACGGGGAATGGGGACGTCCGAGCGATGCTGGGTCTCCAGGCGTCTTGTGCAGAGGACCAGAGCTGTTCGCCACCCTTTGAGCAGCAGGCTCCCCCATCCAAGCGCTGCGCGCGCTACGTTTTGTTATGATCATCGTCGTGATTCGTGCTTCTCCACTCCCTTCCTCTCCACCTCCCCCTGTCCTCCCCCCCATCCTCGCGTCTCCTGCTCCTGTCTTTCTTCGTGATCAGCCCTCCAGTGGCGGGTTTTCGTTTTGAATCTAGCGTTTCTGCTCCTTTCCTACGTTCCTCTCGTCTCCTACCTGTCAGCCTCTTCCACCTTCCAGCCGCTTTCCTCCTCCATCGCGTCTCCTATCTTCCAGCCTCTTTCGCGCTCCTGGCCTCCATCGCGTCTCCTACCTTTCAGCCTCTTTCATCCTCCTCCTCCTCCTCCTCCTCCTCTTCCTCCTCTTCCTCTTTCCTCCTCCTCCTCTTTCCTCTTTCCTCCTCCTCCTCCTCCTCCTCCTCCTCCTCCTCCTCCTCCTCCTCCTCTCTCCTCCTCCTCCTCCCCTCGTCTCCTCACTTCCCCTCGTTTGCTTGTCGTTTCTTCCTCGCTTCTCCTCCTCGCTCTTCCCGTGGGCTCTGCCAGGTGCCCAACAGTCGCCTCTGTGCTGCGCATCTGGGGGGACCCAGCGGGTTGACGCCCTGCGCGCGGGTCACACCGAGACTTCACGCCGAGAGCCTCTCAACCTCGTCCTCGTCCTCCTCGTCCTCCTCGTCCTCCTGCTCCTCCTCCTCCTCCTCCTCCTCCTCCTCCTCCTCGTCCGCCGTGTTTGCACCTGGAGTCGATGTTTCACGGTCCTTGGGTCCGAAACTCGCGGCCCCTGTCGGGCGGGGCCAGGACGAGGATAAATCCGTTCCAGAGCGCTCCGGAACGCCCTCGGAGCGTGCTGGAACGATCCGAGAAGGCCTCGGCGCTCGAGGCATCCCTCAGAGCCGGTGGATTCCAGAGATTCTCTTTTCATCCTCGCCCGATGTTGGATCCTCGTCCCTGGTTTCGACTTGCCCTGCCTTCTCCCCCCCCTCCCCCTCTCCCCCTCCTGGGCGCTCGATGCTTCCTCGCCTCCCGTCCTGCCCCTCTCGCCGAGGCCGTGGGCGCGGGGGCGAAGAAGGGCAAGACGGCCCGAGCGACGAAGGCCTGGGAGCCCCTGGCGAGGCTGGCGGTGCGCCAACGCTCAGAGCCCCGAATCATCAGGGGTAACTCGGGTCAGGGATAACTCGGGTTCTTTTTTCGGGATTCCGAACCCGTGTTATCCCGGACCCGAGTTACCCCGGATATTTTGGGCGTCCAGAACCCCGAATCATCATGGGTAACTCGGGTCAGGGCTAACTCGGGTTCGTTTTTCGGGAACCCAAACCCGGGAGTTACCCTGGACCCGAGTTACCCCGGATAACTCGGGCGTCCAAACCTCTGCAGCGCACCCGCATAGCAAGGATGAGCAACTTTCCCAAGGGTGCCCTAGGCATCTTTGCCTCCTCGGTGCATCCGTCGCCATTTTCGTTGGTGGCGCCCCGTTTTCAGAGCATCGGGATGGGCTTCCACGGCCCTTGCATCCTCATCGCGCATCCTTGTGGTACGGGCCGACTGTATACCTCTGTAGCGCACTCAGCGGGGGCAGGAACCAAATTGATCGAGCTTACTCCCTGGCTCTGTTCGCAAATCATGGGAGCCTTGTGCACCCTCGTGTCGGAGGATCGCGCCGCATCGCCGACGCATCACCGCTGCGGCTCGATGCGGAGCCCGGTTTTCTTCATGCGGACGTCCGCCGATGCATCGCCGACGTCGCCGATGCTTCGCCGATGCATCGCCGATGCATCGCCGATGTATCGGCGACGTCGGCGATATCCTCTGGCCCTATCTACTCCGAACCCATCTTCTAGGAGGCCTCTACGTACGCGTACGTCTTTGTAGCGCACTCCACGGGGATCGAGCTTGCCCCCTGGCTTTGGGGTAGCAAATGAGGGGGAGCCTCGTGCACCCTTGTGATTCTCTCTTTAGAGTGCACTGGCGTCGATGGGCGTCTGGCAATCGATTACGTAATGCCGATTTAGCGCAGATGAGCCTCGATTTAGCGTCGACTAGCCTCGATTTAGCATTGATGACCGTCCATTTAGCGTCGGATAGCGTCGGTGAGTGTCGATTCGCAGGGGCCAAGAAAATGGTACGGGAGGTTCCCATGAGTTGCCGCAGAACTTGGCGTGTCGTGCTGTCTCCTCCGTTCGGTGGCGAGCGAGGTGGGGACGTGAGAAGGAGAAGGCCTTCTCGGAAGGCGGCGGGGCTTCTCCGGAGACCTCGCGCCTTCTGGGAAGGACTTTGTGCTTTTCGGGGGAAGGCTCAGACAACTTCTCGGAAGGCCAGGGGATTCCCGAGCATTCTGCGAGGGCCCTCTCTTTCTTGCTTCCCCCCCTCGCTCGCCGCCGATCCTTATCCTTCCTCGTCTGGCGTTTCTCGTTCCCCTCTCGCCGATGCCTTCGTGGACGCTCTACCTGCTCCCCGCCCCCCCAGCTCCAGACTGGATGGGGATGGGACGCTTTCGGCCCTCAAAGGGCTTGAAAAGGAACCGCTTTCGTTGCTCCGCGTCTCTTCTCCACTCCGCTACCTCATCTTCTCCCATTCGGGAGAAGCACAACTCCTCCTGCTCCACCTTCTTTGTTGCTTCACCGTTCAGACCCTGAGCGAAGGGGGTAGGGATAGGGGTCAAGACACCTCCCTCCCATCCGCCATCCAAACACATACATCTCAGCCGAGTGCCCCGGCCAAGCGCCAGTGCAAGGTGATCGCAGGGCCCCCGCGCATGCTCCAAATTGAGAGCAAAGTTCAGCTGTTTCATTTTACTGACAGGGATGGTGTGCCTGCGCGCAGACAGCAATATGAGCCCCTCCCCGCCCTCCCTCTCAAAGGCTACTGCAGAGTGGTCGCAGGGCGCCCTCGCATGCTCCAGATCTGCACGCGAAGTGTACTTGCTTCTTTGTTGACAGGGATGGTTGGTCTGCGCGTAGCAAGCAAAGCACTATGAGGCCCCGCTTCCCGGCGTCCATTTCAAACATTCGTTCGCATCCTTCGCCTCCCCCGCCCTCGTGCTTCTTTCCGGCTCCCGCCTTCCGCTCCCTCGACCTTCCCCACCCGCCCCTCGTCATCGTCCTCCTGCTGCAGCTCTTGCCCCTCGTCCCGCTCTCTCTCGTCCACGCCCTCGGAGGGCGCATCCCGCTCCTCCTGGTCTCTTCGTCCTCGCTCTCCTCCTCCTCCTCCTCCTCCTCCTCGTTTTCCTCCTCCTCCTCCTCCTCCTCCTCCTCGTTCTCCTCCTCCTCCTCCTCGTTCTCCTCCTCGTTCTCGTTATCCCCCTCCTCCTCCTCCTCTCCTCCTCCTCCTCTCTCTCTCCTCCTCCTCTCCTCCTCCTCCTCCTCCTCCCCCCTTCCTTCCTCCCTCCTCCTCCTCCTCCTCCTCCTCCTCCTCTCCTCCTCCTCCTCCCCCCTCCTCCTCCTCCTCCTCCTCCTCCCCCCTCCCCCGCGCCCGTGCTCCCCGGTCTCTTTCTCCCTGCCGTCCTGCGCCTGCTGCTCCCCCTCCCGCTCCGCCGCCTCCTCGCCCTCCTCCTTGGACCCCGCCCCCGCCCCGATCCTCCCGCCCCTCCTCTTGATCCTCTCTCCCGGCTCCTCCTCGCTCCTCATCGTCATCCCTCCTCGCGTCTCATCCCTCCTCGTCCTCCCTCCTTCCCTCCTCGTCCTCCCTCCTCCCTTCTCCTCGTCCTCCCTCCTCATCCTCCCTCCTTCCTCGTCGCTCCCCTTCCTCCCCCTCATCTCCGCCCCCCTTCTCCCTCCTTCCGCACGGCTCGTCACAGACCGCGGTGCGAGCCAGGAGCTCCCGCCGTCGCCGATCGGGGGAGGGCAGGACAGGCGGCAAGGCCCCGGATCACCACGGAGAGCCCCCAGACATGAACTTCGGGCAGCTGCCGAAGGGCGCCCGAGCCTCAGCGCCCGCCGATCACGCAGCCCTCTTGTCGGGGGTGGACAGAACCCCCAACAGTGACACGTCGATTAGTTAATTGTCCGTTGTCGGTTTTCGAGAGGGCGCCGTGGCCGTTATTTTCCAGGCTTGCGCCCGCCAGGTTTGGGGCCGAAGTCGTTTTCACTAAATTACGTTTTGCTAAAGGGAGGTTTGTCCATCCCCGATCTTGGCGCGGCGGCGCACAGGAAGTGCGTTTCTTGTCCACCGCCGCCGCTGTGTCGTCATGGCCAGGCGTGCACGTCGGATGTCGACGGAGCTCCCCTCCTGCCAGGTTCTTTGGCTTCTCGAGGGGGCGTTGCGCCCGCAATCTTAGCAGGTCTGTGCCTGTCAGGGTTTGGTCCCAGGTCGTTTTCACTGAAGGGCTCCATTGATGTCAAGAGGGGTCACGCCCACTCCCGAATCATGACCAGGTGTGGGCGATGCGTGAGACAAGCTGCACCACCTGCCTTGCGCTTCAAGGCGCTCGTGGATTGAGGCTGCGCATGAAGCAGGCAGCAAGCGAAGCAGCAGCGGACATCGCGCACGCGTCACGGAGCGCTCTTGCTCGGCATTCTCCCCCCGAGGGCGAGGTGGCTGACTTCGATCCCCAGGGCCCGCAAGAAACCCCAGCCGGACCGCAACGCAAGGATGAGCAACTTTCCCATCGAAGTAGCTTGGAGCGCTCTTAGGGCCCACTTGGGGCGATCTTGAACGCTCTGGGGCAGTCTCGGGGGCCTCTTGGGCCGTTCTTGAATCTTTCTTGGGCCATCTCAGGGCCATCTTGAGGCCCCAAAAGCGCATCGGAAGCGAAAAGGCGAGAAGGCACACATCTGTTGTTTTGAATTATAATTTAAAGGATTTTGGCTTCTCGGGGCCTCTCGACCTCGCCTATGCCTTAGCCCTCAGACAGAGGCTTCAAGTTTGTCGTCCAGTGGCCTCTCGTCCTTACCGCGCAGTGTTCCGGTTGATCCAGCCGCAGTGTTCCGGTTGATCCAAAAGAGGGTCCAGCGAAAAGAGGGTGGTGCAAAAGACTTGGTGCAATAGATTTGCGGGGTGTGCCATCGATTTGCGGGGTTGGAATCGACTTTGGGAGTGCAATACATTTCTGTGCGCAACTGTATTGCTGGATTTCCGCGTGCAACTCTGGTTGCATCATAATGCAATACAAATTTCCAGCGCCATACATTTGCAAACCAGTTGGCCCAAATTTAGTGCACCACCCCATTTCAGCTGGACCCCGTTTTTCAAAGAAGACAAATTTGGATATACATAAACTTTTGGCGCTCCGCGCTGGATTTCTTGGATCCGCGCTGGGTCCCCCGGGCGCCAAAAGTTTTTGTTTATGGCGTTTTTTGTCTTCCTTCATTCGAGTCAACATCAAGTGTACCAGCGGCAAGACAGCATCTGGAGGTGGCGTCGGAAAGCCCGTGGGGGCCACAGCGTGGAATAAAAGTTCACGCCATCGGGGGAGTCGGCACGTGGACGGCTCCAGCCTCCTCGGCGGGGGTGCCGGGAGGGCCCAGCGCGGATCCAAGAAATCTTCGCGGAGCGCCACAAGTTTATGTTTATGGCGTTTTCTCTCCTTCTATCGAAGGAGACGAATGCGGCGGTGTTGTTGGAGTCCTCGCGCAAGGGTTTCTTCAGGGTTCCCGGAATCGACCACGCGATCACCCTCACACCAGGCGCATCTCGGAACAAATGTGAACTACGCGTCGGGATTAAGCCAGTTTCGGGCCTCGGGACTGTGAGAGCCATGATGCGGGTTGCAGTATTTTGCACTGGGGAAGGGGTCCAGAGTTTCAGCAAGTCGAGCGGCTGGACGAGATCGGTGATCACAGCCCAGACATCCCGCGTTTCAATTGGCTGTCCATCTTGAGTCGTATTCTTGACGGTGCCTGGGCCCGAAGTTGGCCCACGAGCGGTCGCGAAGGCGAAATCATTGCCGCCCCGAGGTTTGTCTGAGCCGCAAAGTGTTTCTCGGGGGGAGGCGCCCACAACGTTTTGACCCGTGTCTCCTCTCTCCCCCCTCTCCCCGCGGGAGTCTTGGCGTCGGTTCCTCCGTCGCTCTGCGGGCTCCCGGCTGCGCCCGCTCGGAATGGCACCAACCCCCCCCCATCGCGAGACGATGTTTTGGTATTCGAAAGTTGTGCCATAGATCGGCGGCGAGCGAGGGGGGGGGAGTGAGAAGGGGAAGGCGTTCTCGGAAGGTGCGGAAGTCCTCGGGCCTCCTGAGGAGTTTCCGAAGCCTTCCCGGAGAACAGACAAAACGACCTCTCGGAGGGCGCGAGGGCTTCCGGGAAGTTCCACCGCCTTCTCAGAAGGCCTTCTCCCTCTCTTTCCCCACCTCGCTCGCCGCAAACTCCCATCGCGGAGCGATGTTCTGGTATGAGAATGATGTATGTACACAGGTCGACCCCAAGAGGTCTTAACCCCTTTCCCGGGACCGGCTTCTCACCCTGAGCCGTTTTTGGACGGCCCCGAGGCCCGAGAAGGGCCCCGGGAGGCCGAGCCTCGCCAAAACCCCCCGTCGTGGTTTTGCCACGACGCGAGGGTGTCTGGGATTTGGCATCAAAATAATGCTTGCGCAGAGTCGGATGCAACTCCTAGGAGGTCAAGCTCTGTTTTCGCCCTGGTCCGAAATCCGGCTTAATCCATCCCGCTGAATCCCGCTGAATCCGGCGCTTGATCCTGCTTGCTCCGAGGCCCTTTCCGGCGTAACAGCTCCCAGATGGGGCTTATAATCCTCCCTGATCTTTAAGACGAAAGCCTCCCAGTAGTCGGGGGCGGCAAAGAGGGGGGTGACGACTATGGGGGGGGATATCATGGCGGGGGCCATGATATTTTCTCAGATTGCATGGCGCCTTTTCTTGTTTCATTACGTCCCTGGCCCCCCCGCTGGGCCGCGCACATGCCGCCGGTCATGATTTGCACCCCCCCCCCTCTAGGAGACCCCCCTCTTGGCCGCTCCCGAAGTAGTTGCCTCCTAACGCAGAGGTCTGGACCGAGCTGAAGGGCTGGGACTCCAAGCCCGGCTGCGAACCCACGCTCCGGTCCAACGCCACGCTCTCGGGCGTGGGCCCTGCGCCGGGCTGCCGCCTTCTCCGCCCAGGGCGCCGGAGGAGTCACGGCGGGGAGGCGGCGGGAGACGAGGTCTTCTCACTGTACGGTATAGGACCCAGAGGTCCACAACGTATTGAAAAAAGCAAAGACGGAGGTTTTTTCTCATTTTTCGGCCTCTAGGGGCCCTCGCCAGGCCCTGGGGCCGTCAACAAACGACTCAGGATAAAGAACCAGTCCTGGGGAGTGGGTCGAGACTCCGGGGGACCGCGTATGGAAGAAATCACGACATCGGATCTCTGGGGACCGAGGTGCAAGATTCGACTCCATGTAAGAGTGGCCTTTCGCCGGAGTGACCTTTTGTGCGGGCCCAGGGGGGCCCCCCGATCGCCGAACGCGACGCTGTATTAGCGTCTTGCGCGCTTGTGTGTGGTCCCCCACCGGCCCCCAGTGAACCGCGCACTACAGGTCACTCTTACCCAGGGTCACTCCTGCGTGTAGTCGAAAGATCGAGGTCGGCTCGGAGAGGATACCCTGATGCCTTTCGTGTTCGTCGAATGTTTATCGCCGCTGCGCCCCGGCAGCGCCCGCGGGAGCGTCCTGGCCTCGGCCCCGGCTGCTGCCGCCGTCCCCGCTGCCTCGGCTGGCCGCTCCTGCCGGCTCTACGTACGCGGAACTCTTCCACGTCTGAGCGCTTCCCCCCTTCCTCCTCCTCCTCCTCCTCCTCCTCCTCCTCCTCCTCCTTATTCCCCTCCTCCTCCTCCTCCTCCTCCTCTCCTCCTCCTCCTCTCCTCCTCGTCTCCTCCTCAGTCAGTCAGTCTCAGTCCTCCTCCTCCTCCTCCTCCCTCTCTCCTCCTCCTCCTCCTCCTCCCTCCTCCTCCCCCTCCTCCTCCCCCCCCTCTTCCCCTCCTCTCCTCCTCCTCCCCTTCCTCCTCCTCCTCCTTTTCCTCCTCCTCCTCCTTCTCCTCCTCCTCCTCCTCCGCCACTCACGCGGCCGCTCTCGTCTTCTTTCCTTCCTCTTGCACGGTGGACAGTTCGCATTTCGTTTGCCCCGATGAGTCACACGCTGGAGCGGGTTGCCTCTGCCGGAACGTATTTGGATGCTTTTCGCATCCTGAGGCAGGGCACCCTCGAATCAACTTCGGTTTGGCCGGCGGAGGGCCTGATGCTTTTGAAGGGTGTTATTTTGTCTCAGGTCCGACCGTACATGAAGCCTTCCAGAAAGGGTCTCGCCTTCGAGGACCGAAGGAGTTGGCATCCCTTCCTTGACGGAAGGCCGGCGGGAGGCAGCGGGAGCAAGTCGGGGGCAGTCCCGCTGGCGGAAGGCCAGCGCAAGTCGGGGGAAGTCCCACCCCCGGATCACGAGGCGGCAGAAGGTTTGGAAGCTCTGGTAAAGAGCTTGTGGGAAGCTTCGGGGCACACGTGCTGGGAAACAGTGAGGGAAGGTCCCCTGGGAGGCGCTGGAGGTTCAAGCAACTCGCGGCCAGGATTCTGGAGCGAAGCCGGGACGAGCTCCGGGGCTGCCCCTGCCTGGCGGCCTCTACTCTGAAACCTTCTTCGCTTTCTGCGGGCCATCCGGGAACAAGGTCCATACATGCTACACATATGCAGAGCCCCTCGCCATGCCAATCCAGGGCCATGCCCGCCCTACCAACTCATGCGGGGTGCAACAGGGGGAGTGTTCTTAAAGTGGCACGGATAGGGGATGAAGTGGAGGAGGAGGAGGAGGAGGAGGACAAGAGAGTCAGTCATTCAAGCCCGGCTCTCAAACTTCGCATTGGCGAGAAAAAAGAAAATCAACATTAGTGGCGCCACACTGCGGGGCGAGGGCAAGATCGGTGGCCACATGCGAATTCTCATTCCCACCCCCCACGATTTCCGAGAGGTTCCGAGCGGAGTGAACCCTAACCCCCTTTCAGAAATTGGTGGGGGTGGGCGTAGGTTTCAGATGTGGCCACCTAAAGAGCAGGCGGGGGGAAGAGGAGAAGGAGAAATACAGGGAGAGCAGAAACAAGCACCACGGGCCAACGTTCTGGAAGAAATTCAAGAACGCCAGGGAGGGCGGGAAAGCCCGGAAGTCGTGGGGGGGAAGGTCAGAGGCGACGACGGCGGAGTGAACCCCCATTCCCCCTTAGAAATCCTTGGGAGGGAGTAGGGTTCACATGTGACCACCTCAAGAGCAGGCGGGGGGAAGAGGAGAAGGAGGAGGGGAGGGAGAGCAGAGAAACAAAAACACACCACGGGCAGCTCAAGAGCGCCAGGGAGGGCGGGTGAGCCCCGGAAGTCTGGGGGGGAGAGCTGAGACGACGGCGACGACGACAACGACGACGACGGTGACGACGACGACGACGACGATGGCGGTGGCGGCGGCGGCGATGACGGCGACGGCGACGACGACGACGACGACGGCGACAACGACGACGACGGCGGCGACGACGACGACGCCGACGACGACGGCGACGGCGACGGCGACGGCGACGAGGCCCATCCGCAAGAGCGGCCTCGCTCAGGAACGGCGGGGCCCCGCGGTCTGCCAGGCCCGGGCCGAGGAACACGGCTACGGCGCCTTCGGCTTCGTTGTAGGGAAGCGCAGCGGCTGGAAGACTTGCTGCCGCGGGCCCGGGCGCCCGCGCGGCCTCCCCCGCAGAGAGGGGGCCCATGGCCCCTCCTCCTCCTTCTTCCTCCTCCTCCTCCTCCTCCTCCACCCTCTCCTCCTCGTCGTCGTCGTCGTCCTCCTCCTCCTCCTCCTCATCCTCCCCCTCCTCCTCCTCCTCCTGCTCCTCCTCCTCCTCCTCCTGCTCCTCCTCCCCCTCCTCCTCGTCCTTCTCCTCCTCTTCCTCCTCCTCCTCCGCCTCCCGAGCCGCGCCGGGCGCCCTCCCCCGCGGGGGTCCCAGGTTTCCTGTGGCTTCCCGCAGGGGTCGACCGAAACGGTGGTTTGCCGATTTCGTGGGCCGTTTTTCGCTCGCAGGTGTTATTTTTCTCCCCCAATCTCCTCCTCATCCTCCTCCTCCTCATCCTCCTCTGCCTCCTCCTTCTCTTCCTCTCCATCTCCTCCTCCTCCTCCTCTCCTCCTCCTCCTCCTCCTCCTCCTCCTCCTCCTCGCTCTCCTCCTCCTCCTCCTCCTCCTCCTCCTCCTCCTCCTCCTCCTCCTCCCTCTCCTATCTATGGTAGTGGTGGTGGAAAACGGGCCCATCACCCCCTGCCCATAGGAGGCCTATCATCCAGGCCGGTCCCGCGACGGGGAACCAGACTCGTCGACGACAAAAAAAAAAAACCGTTCGGAAAGGGAGGGGATCCTTGGGATTCACCCCCAGGAGGCTATTCGGACGCACACCGCTATCGAGGATGGGCGCCCCCTATCGTATATCCCAGGGTTGTGCCCCAAGTTTCGGGTCCACTCGGAACTGCCATCTCCCCTGTGACTCGTTGCGGACTGAAGACGAGGCGAGGGAGGGCGACAACGAATCGAAGCCGACAAGCACTATTGGGGTCGATCCCTCGCTCCCCGAGCAGGAGCTGCTGGGCCTGTTTTCCACCAGCACCACAAGTTAGAGGGGGGAAGGAGGAGGAGGAGGACGGGGACGAGGAGGACGAAGAGGAGGAGGAGGAGGAGGAGGAGGAGGAGGAGGAGGAAGAGATAGAGGAGGACCCCCTCCCCCTCCAACTTATGGTGGTGGTTGTGGAAAATGGGCTCGTCGGGAGCTCAGGGGCGGCCGGCCGATGAGCGGGGCGTTTTTGTTTGCGTGGGCGCCCCCGGCTCGTGAGGGGGGGCCTCTCTGCATGTAGGCTTCCGCCAAGTGCGGGTGGACAGCGGCGGGCCGAGCAGCCATGCAGGAGGGAGGCCCGGAGGAGCCGAAGCACAAAAGAACGGCACCAGCACTGATGGGCCTGCTTTCTACCACCACCACCATCATAAGTTGGAGGGGGGAAGGAGGTGGAGGACGAGGAGGAGGAGGACAAGGAGGAGGAGGAGGAGGACCCCCTCACCCTCCAACTTATGGTGGTGGTGGTGGAAAACAGGCCCATCGTCCTTTGATCTCGGGCCATCGATTCTCGGCTCGTGTAGCGATCCCAGTTTGCCTGGCGGTCGTCTGCTTAGCGCTCCTGCGCCAGTCACGCCGCAATGTGATCGCGTGCTCCCCAGACCATTTCCTCCCGGAAGAAAACAGGCTTGTGGCGGTCCGCGCGGATGCCTTGGATCTGCGCTGGACGGGTGGAATCTGCGAGGACCGCGCTGATGCGGCTTCTTGCTCCTCTCACGAAGAAGAGAGATCCTGAGGAGAAAGGGGGCGCCTGAGGCTTCCTGGGGCCCCTCCCCGGGCCCTGGTGCCGTTCAGAGACAGACGGGTTGGCACACCTGCAGTGGGGAGGGCCCCAGGGATCCTGCAGGATCCTGAGGCCTTGCGAGATACCATCAGAGCAGCACGCCGGCCAGTGTGTCATGTCGATCCGCGCGTACAGTGGAGGAGGGTAAAATGATGAGGAGGGGGAGGAGCACGTGTAAGAAGAGGAGGATTCGGATGAGGACAACGTGTACATGGGGAAAGACGAGAGGGATGATGATGCGGAAGCTGATGTTCATGCGAATGGTTGTGATGATGCTGAGGATGGTGATTCTGATGACGATTGTGCTGCTGATGATGATGCTGATGATTGTGACGATGATGCTGCTGATGCTGCTGGTCATGGTCATGGTGACGGTGATGGCTGTGGTGATGTGGATGATGATGTTGGTGGTGATGTTGTGGTGGTTATGGTGGCTACCATGATGCCGATGCTTGCAATGGCCACGATGGTTTCGACGATGCTGGTGAGTGTGATGGCGATTACGTTGCCAGTGACGATGTGGTATTGTTCATGAGGATGAGGAAGATGATGATCAGGATGATAATGGTGATGATGCTGATGATGCTGATGAGGATTAGTTTGTTGATGACGATGAAGATGCTGATGGTGATGCTACTGCTGATGATGATCGTTATGGTATGATTTTGGGGATGGTGCTGATGATGGTGATAGTGATGATGATGCTTATGATGTGTCTGATGATGCTGACGATAATGATGCTGACGCGACTGATGATTATGCTGCTGATGATGAGGCTGATGATGATGAGGCTGATGATGATTCTGCTGATGGTGCTGATGAGGAATATGATCATATTAGAGATGACTATGATGGGGAGGAGGAGGAGCAGCAGCAGCAGCAGCAGCAGAGGGCAGAGTAGGAGAACGACCAGGGCCTGGAGAATGAGCAAGACCATGAGGCCGAAGAGGAGGAGGAGGAGGAAGAGGAGGAGGAGGAATGAAATGGAAGGGAAACGCGGAGAAGGAGTGGCAGGCGGGCGCAGCGATGGAGGAAGGACGACAAGGAGGCAGCGGCGACGCGGGAGGGAGGAGCGGGCCGGGGCAGGGGCAGGGGAGCGGGGTGCTGCCGCGGCCGCGAACTCGAAGAACGTGCGGCGCGCCCGAGGCTACAAGAACTTCAGCGTCGAGGAGGTCCTCGACGACCTCATCGAGGACGCCGCTGGGGGCCTCTCACCCAGCCGAGCTGCGGCGGAGGTGGTGGAGGAGGAGGAAGAGGAGGAGCAGCAGCAGATCTTACACGCAGGAGGAGGTGGACGAGGAGCGTGAGGAACGCGGGCGGAATTTCCGAGGAGCAACAAGAGAAGCGCGGTCGGGAGCTGGCAGACGAGGTGGAGAGAAGGGATCCGGCAGGGGAGGAGGAGCAGGATGGGGGCGTTTTGAGCCTTATGCCAGAGGTGCAAGAGCGCAGCTCGTTCAACCACTGCCAGAGGTTGATGCGTAACTATTGGCTTTCATTCCGAGCTATGTGCGAGGAGGATGGGGGCGGAGGAGAAGGAGGAGGCGGACCCGATCTGCTTTGACCGACCCCAAGAGCCTGCTCCGACCGACGGCCCAAGAGCGCCTGGAGTGCTTGCTTCGGCCGCCGACGGCCCGCGTCTCCAGGCGTCGTTTGCTGCCAGACGTGGCCCTGGCCCGCCACGGGAGGTGCAGGTGGCTTCCAGAGTACTCCTCACGAGACGCAGAGGCCGCAGAGACCTCACAATGGCGCGAAAATGCACCCTGTTGGACGAGGGTCAATCCGCTCCAGAGTGCTCTCAGAGCGGTCCAGAACGCTCTGAGAGGGCCGCGGCGCCCGAGACATCCTCCAGAGACGCCAGATCTCAGAGATCCCCGATGTGTCCTCACCCGATTTGATCCTCGCCCTGGCTTTGTCCTACCTTGGGCCAGGACCACCTCCGTAGCGACGCCCGAAACCGTGCCTCCACGACGAGCCGACGCCCGAGCGGCGCCCGTGCCCCGCCCCCGCCCCGCCGAGAGAGGACGGGCAAGTCACGCTGTACTACAACGGAGAGCGCAGGCGCACGGCGCCACATCCCCCGGCGGTGGGGGGAGTGCAGCAATGGCCAGGGTGCTTGCTGCCACGGCTGGACACAGCTCTCGGGAGACTGGACGGGATGGCGATGGGCCTGCTTTCCACCACCACCACCATAAGCTGGATGGGGAGGGCGTCCTCCTCCTCCTCCTCCTCCTCCTCCTCCTCCTCCTCCTCCTCCTCCTCCTCCTCCTCCTCCTCCTCCTCCTCGTCCTCGTCCTCCACCTCCCTCCCCCCCACTTTGGAGGTGGTGGTGGAAAACAGGCCCATCAGATGGACCCCCATGGGAGGGGTCTACGGACACAGACAATGACATTGAACATGAAAGCTCTGGGGTCCGCGCGGATTCCTCGGATCGGCGCTGGGGGCCCCTGGCGGTGCCTCAGGCGCCGCCCTCGGCGCGCTACGCGCGCCCGGGATGGGGGCCCAGCCCCGGTTTGAGAAAGCCTCGCGGACCTCCGAGCTTTCATGTGTATGTCATTGTTTGTTCCCCAAGGGTCTGGGGACTGATGTCCACAGGAATTGAGGCTGGACGACGGCAACTGGTGACGACCACGACGGCGAGAGCGAGGAAGATGCAATCGCTCCGATGTTGCGATGGGCGCTCCTTGCCCAGGGTCTGGCAGGAATTCCGCCTCCGTATCCCCTCCCCCTCCCCCTCTCCTCCCTTTCCATTGCTTCTTCCACCATCTCTTCCTTCTCTTCTGCCTCTCCTACATCTTCCTATTCTCTGTGATCCAGTCCCTTGGCCGCCTCCTTCTCTTTTCCCTCGTGAGGTGCATCTAATCCTTGGTCATCCCATTCCCATTCCTTCTCTCATTCTCTCCCCTCTCCATCGCTACTTTCAAGGACGCCTTTCGCCCATCCACGTTCTTGTCCTCATTCGCTGCGAGATGCATCCGTTGGTCAGTCACTCTTGTCGGAAGTGGCCCGCGACTCTGTGCATGGCAGTACTTGAGTGCATTCAAGAGCCTTACGCCATTCCGTTGGGGCCTCTTTGGGACCCTCTGGGGGCCTCTTTTTGGCCTCTTGGGGGTTCCTTCGGGCCTGTTGAGAGTTTCTTGGGCGCCTGCTGGCGGTCTCGGAGGTCCTCTAGGGGCGGAGGGCTCGGAATGTCAGTTCGAGTTGCCTCTCTTGGGGCCCTCTGGGACCACATTGGGCGCCTTCTGGGCCGTCTCGGGACCCTCTCCGGCCGTCTTGGGGCGCTCTTGGGAGCTTCTTGGGCCGTCTTGAAGCGATCTTGGTGGCTTTTTGAGCCGTCTTGGACGCCGTTAAGACCAGACATGCGGATAGAACTGGGTACAATGCTGCTTCTTGGGGCCTTGGGGCTCAACTTGGAGCCTCCGTGGGGCGTCTTTGAGGCACTCTGGGCAGCTTTGAGGCCCTCTTGGCTGTTTGGAGGCCTCCCCGGCGTGATAGAGCACATTTTGAGCCAGCTTCGAAGGCCACAAATTGTCGATTTGAAAGCCCTGGAGGCCCCAGGGGTGCGTTGGCGAGACCCCCCTGCCCCCCTGGTCCCCACTCCCTCTTCTAACGCGATTTTGAACCCCTGGGGAGGGGGAAAGGGGATGGTGGACAGCCAAATGTCTCACACGCATTTTGCACACCGGCACGCGGGGCTCGGCGGATTTTTAGGCCCGCTTTGTAGGACACATAAACGAGGACGCCTTGGTAGGGGGTAGTAGGCGGGAGTTTGGGCTGGATCAAGATGAGAAAGAAGACGACGAGCAGGAGGACGGCAGCATGAACAGAAAAATGATAAATTTTCCGCTGGTGGACGGATCGCAGTAGGACGAGAAAGGGGAGGATGGAGAGGAGTGGGAGGGGAAGGCCGAGGAGGAGGAGGAGCAGGAACAGTAGCAGGGAGAGAATGATGCACATGATGCAGATGGCGGCGATTATGAGACGGAGATAAGGACTGGGTGGGGGTTGAGCAGGAGGCGTTCTCCTCGTCCTTTCGATTTCGCTTGGCATCTTCATCTCTGTCCTCATCAAAGCTGTTTTAGAGAGGCCGATGGCTTTTGAAGGTCCCTGTATTTCGGGGCTTCCAGGGTGGCTTCTGGGTTTCCTGAGGGGAGCGAGGTCTGGAGATGAGGAGGGAGGGGGGCGCCCGATCATGAACCCGAGGACGGGGAGGGAGGCGGCGGAGGGACGAGAAGGGAGTGACGGGACGAAGAGTGGGAAGAGTGGGGGAGGAGGAGGAGGAGGAGGAGGAGGAGGCGGAGGAGGAGGAGGATGAGGAGGAGGAGGAGGAGGAAGAGGAGGCATGATGTAGAGGAGCGTCACCTTCTCCACACGAGCGCGCACGCCCAGCGACCACGCCCTCCTCCTCCTCCTCCTGCTTCCTCCCCTTTTTACTTACAAGTAGCTCTTCCCTGTCGCAGCCCAAGACGTATTGGTAGGGTGGGCTTGGCTTTTTTGTCTGATCGTTTCCGCACCGTTAATGGCCCTGGAGCTTGATCGGTTCAACAAGTTCAATGTTGGTTGGCGGCTGGTTTTCAAAATGTGGCCCTCGCTTCAGTGCCGCGCGCATGCGTGCTAAAAGCTTGCAGCAGATTCAAGGATGCAGGGCGACCCGCTTGCAACATGTTGTAATGGCTTTAGCTCTGCGCGCATTCGTCTTAAACGTTTCCAGCAGCTTCAAGAATGGAGGGCAGCTCCTTTTCATGTCTGAAAAGTTTGGGCGCTCTTGGGGTCGTCTAGCGTGCCCGCTGGGCCTCTGTTGGGCCTTTCTTGGGCCATCTTGGGGCCACCTTTTGGAACAAAAAGGCGCACCGACAGCGAAAAGGCGAGAAGTCAAACGTCAGTGTTTTCCCTAAGGTGTTTGAGGATTTTGGCCTCGTGGGGCGTCCAGAGGGGGGGGCCGCCGAGAGCACTTGGAGCCGTCTTGTGGCCTCCGTCGGCTCGGCGGGCCTCTTGGAGGTATGCCAGAAGCTATCTTGAACCACTGTCGGCTATCTGGGGCCATCTTGGAGGCCATCCTGGAGCATCGGATGCCCTCTTGGCGCCATCTTGGAGCTCGTTTGAGGGGATCCTTGGTCCTCTTGGTGTTTTTTTTCGGTTGGCCCTGGGGCCCTCTTGGGGATCATTCGCGAGCCATGGGGAGGCCTCTTGGGGCCATCAAGAGGGGGGGGGGCGCCCCTGGGGCTATCAAATTCTTTACGCTTCGCGTATCCCCACCAGCCAATCTCACAGCAGCAACTCTTGCGAAGCATGCCGACAGTCGTGTTTTGCAGGCGTGTGTCCGCTTGGCCCCGCATATCTCCCCTGTTCCTCCTTCCTCCCGCCTCCTTGTACATCCTCCTTGTGGGGGGAGCGGGAGAAGGACGAGGCGGAGGAGGAGGGAGAGAAAGCGCTCCTCGTGATTTGAGTCGTTTGGGGTTTCTCGTCCTGGTGTGAGTCGTTCGGGCCCTTCTTCCTGGTGTGAGTCGTTCGGGCTCTTCGTGGTGTGAGTCGTTCGGGCTCTTCGTCCTGGTGTGAGTCGTTCGGGCTTCTCGTGGTGTGAGTTGTTCGGGCCCCTCATCCTGGTGTGAGTCGTTCGGGCCCCTCCTCCTGGTGTGACTCGTTCGGGCTCCTCGTGGTGTGAGTCGTTCGGGGCCCGCGTCGTGGTGTGAGTCGTTCGGGCTCCTCGTGGTGTGAGTCGTTCGGGCGCCTCGTCCTGGTGTGAGTCGTTCGGGCCCCTCCTTGTGGTGTGAGTCGTTCGGGCTCTTCGTGGTGTGAGTCGTTCGGGCCCCTCGTCCTGGTGTGAGTCGTTCGGGCTCCTCGTGGGGCCTCTTGGGGGCCTCTTGGGGGCCTCTTGGGGCCTCTTGGGGGCCTCTTGGGGGCCTCTTGGGGGCCTCTTGGGGGCCTCTTGGGGGGGGCCTCTTGGGGGCCTCTTGGGGGCCATCAAGAGGGGGGGGGGGGGGGGGCGCCCTGGGGCTATCAAAATCTGTTATCTCTGCGCCATGACTGATGTTGGCCTCCTCGCCAAGGCCATCTTGGACGCTCTCACGCCCGGCGGGACCCCCAACAACCTGGCGAGGGTGGGGGCACACCTCCCAGATATGAGCAGGTTTTTGGAACAGGAAAGACAGAGATCGCTAGACAGGGCGGGTGGGACTGCGGGCCGTCGCCGTGGTGCCGCGCCCACTCTGTGGGAGCGTCTGCCGTAGATTTTCCGGGAGTCGTATGGGTGGAGTCCCCGGAGTTGTTGTTTTGGTTTTTGTTGGGGGGGCACGAGTTTGGACTGCCAAGACGCAGTTATCCTGCTGACTCGCGGCGCTGCAGTCCGAGGCGTGGTGCCCTGACGCCACGGCAGGCTATGAGGAAGTGTAGCCGCCACGCGGCGTCGTGGCGTGGAGCCCCCGGGGCATGGCGTCCGGGTGCCGTGTGGCATGTTCGCACGGTTGTTTTCCAATTTGGCATCGGTATCCTCCTCGTTATCCTCCCCTCCTCCTCCTCCTCCTCCTCCTCCTCCTCCTCCTCTTCCTCCTCCTCCACCTCTTCCTTCTCCTCCTCCTCCTCCTCTTCCTCCTCCTCCTCCTCCTCCTCCTCCCTCCTCTCCTCCCTCCTCCTCCCCCTCCTTCCTATTCTTCAAGCCGAGTAACTAAGAGAGGGGAGGATGAGGATGGAGGATGATAGGGGAGAATGGTGAGCTGGAGCGCGTGGGCTGGATCTTACCTCGCGCGCTTCACCTTGCAGGAGGTGTGCCGCGTCGCATGTCCATGCTTCCCTGCCCACAGTTTCCGCTGCCGCCTCTGCTCCCGCTTCGGTTCCTCACCCCGTCGGCGATTCGCCAGGCCCACGTCGCCTTAATCTTCACCGTCGTAGCACATCGAGCATGATATGCATGGGTCGTCGTCGAGGTAATTGAGACTTGATCCAGTCAGTTGGGCTCTACGCTGTCCTCCTCCCGATTCTCTCCACTTCCCTGCCGGCAGTCTTGGCGACGCGGCCATCGCCCGGGCCGCCTCGATAGCCCGCAACCTCTCCGCGGCACGTCGAGCCTCTGGAGCCGCCTGGCAGCCTGGCGACCCCCCTCCGAACGACGAGCTGTGACCCGCGCGGCTCGGCTTCGGCCCTCGTCGTCGTCGTGGTCGTCATTGCCGACGTTCGCGCCGCCACCCTTCTCCTCATACACCTTATCCACGTGTCCTCACCCCCCCTCGTCCTTTTCGTCCCCCCTCGTTGTTCTCGCTCGCCCCCTCCTCTTCCTCGTCCTCCTTCTCCTCTTCCTTTTGCTTCTACCTCCTACCTCACCTCCTCCCCCCGCACAGGTCCCCTCGGGCTCCCCTGGAGGCCCCCGACGTGCCCGGGGAAGGGGGGGAGCCCTGGGAGGCCCAGGGGCACGACCGGCGGCCTCGATCCTCCGTCGTCCTCTCGCGCTCGGCCCCCCCCGGCGTCCCTTGGCCCCTCCTCCTCCTCCCTCCTCCTCCTCCTCCTCCTCCTCCTCCTCCTCCTCCTCCTCCTCCTCCTCCTCCTCCTCCTCCTCTTCCTCCAACGCACCCCCCGCTCCTCCTGCCTCCCGCTCCGCCCGCGCATTCCGCGGCACAACATGGCTTTTTTTCCAGCGCGGGCGGGGCCGCGGGCAGAGCCCGAGACTCAGAGCGTGAATTTCCTACCCCGCTTTCGCTTCCAGGCAAAACCAAGCCATACCACGCGCCTCCTCGTCAAGCGGCCTGACCAGTACAGGCTGCAATTTGGCATCGTTGGTATCTCTTGGAAGCGAGGGTGGTCAAAAGCGAGGGTAGGTTTGTTTTCCCACTAGAGACCTATCCGATTCATCCATCGAGCCAGGCGGCCGCGCACCACTGGGCGCCCGCGCGCGCCGTGCCTGCGGGGAGGGCTCTTCCCTTCGGAGATCAGACAAGAACACGCGTAAACTTTCGGCGCTCTGGGCGGATGTCTTGGATTTGCGCTGGACCACCCAGGCGGCGCCTCCGGCGCCGCCCCTGGCGCGCTCCGCGGCCAGGGAGGGGAGTCCGGTGCCCATGTCTCCGCAGGCCTCTCGGGGCTCTCCAGCTCAGAGGAGGAAGGGGGTACGTCTACTGCTACGCTTTCCTCGCTTTCGCCCTCTTGGGCCTCCCGGGAGGCCCTCGTCGCCACCGCCGGGTTCGCCTCGACATGCTGGTCCGAGTGCACCCTCGGAGAGGAGGGGGAGGAGGAGGAGGAGGAGGAGGAGGAGGAGGAGGAGGAGGAGGAGGAGGAGGAGGAAGCCACTGGCTGAGGAGGGGCCAGCCGCGGGGGCCCCCCTCGCAGCCGGGGTTCAGCGCGCCGCACGCGCCGCAGCAGAGGCGGCCGCGGCGGCCGCGCGCCAAGACACCCTGGCCGCGGAGGGCTGCCCGCGATGTGGCGGCCCAGGGCTGCCCGATGACGTTGCGGCCCGCCAGCCAGCGCCAGGCAGACATCAGCGCGCTTGGCCCTTCAGCGGCACGCCGCCTCGCGCGCAGGCGTCGCCGCGACGCGACTGAGGCCTTGCTGCGCTCACACATCTGGGACCATGGAAAGTGGCGGCGCGGCGACAGGCCTGACGCCCGCTGGGACCATGGCGCTGGCTGGTGGCCCGACGCCCGCTGGGACCCTGGCGATTGGAAGCGAGGCGACGGGCATCAAGCATGGCACAACTGCGCCTCGGAGCTGGACGGCATCCTCGCAGAGGTGCAGAACCAGCTGGGCGAGCTCAGCGACAGGATGCAGGATCACGGCCCGGGCCTCCGCGAACTGGGGACCGCCGGGCAGGCCCTGACGGGCGAGCGGCCCAGCTGCGCCGCGGGCCTGACTGTGGCTGCGCCCGTGTTCCTGCCTCGCGACCAGGGCAGCCACGCCCGCGAAGCGAAGCGTTCTCCTGGCACGAGGGCAACGCCACGATCGTGCTCGACACGCTGCCGCGCGCCAGGGAGGCCGCCGACGCCGCCCCTGCATCTGCAGGCGCTGGCGCCGCTGGCGTGGCGTGCCCCGCCCATGAGCTCGTGGACGCCGCCGTCCGCGAAGCGCTCGCTGGCGGTCGATCGCGCCGCCGAGACGCAGAGGGCGCGGCGGACGGCTCCCAGCAGGCGGCTTGCAGCCTGCCGCGCGACGCTGCTGGCGACCGCTGCGGGCGGCTCGATTCCGAGGGCACCTCGCCAGAAGAGGGGGGCCTTGGGCACTCCCCAGGGCGCCTCTGCGGAGGAGGACCCGAGCATGGGAGGGGACCCGGCAGAAACCAGCAAGAGACAGGGTGGCCGGCCCCCGCGGGGCTGGCATTGGCGGAAGCGGGCGCCTCTGCGGAGGAGGACCCAGGGCACCCCCATAGGGTGCTGGCCCGTCGGGGCCAGAGGACCCGAACACGGGAGGGGACCCTGGCCCCACCCCACGGGATCCCCTCGGCGGCCCCCCCCCCCCACCTGGCCTCCCCTCTCGCCACGGCTGGATTCGCCCCGGAACCTGGAGAGCAGGCGGCCCGTGGGCCCCGACGGGCTCGCGAGCGGCCGCGAGAGGCCGGCGCCGCCGCCGCACGCACTGGACGAGGGCCACCCGGCAAGCAGATCCAGGGCGCTGCACTGGGCTCTGGCTCGGCACCGCTCGGACGTGTGCACTCTTTTCCTTCGGCGAGGACCCTCGAGAGGAGCATCCTCGACCATTAAGGCGCAAAAGCCGCGCGCGAAGCCGAAAAAAAAGCACACGGAAGGGACGTCCAAGCGATGGCCAGCTGGAGGCCCGGCTCTGGGCGATGACGACTGCGCGGCCCGACCACGTGGGCGCCGCGGCGGACCTGGGGGGCGGGCGGCGCAGGGCCCGCAGCGCTCGCGCTCGAGCCCGGCTCTCGCCAGCCACACGGGGCTGCTCGCGAGCACGTCATCCACGTCTCGCTCGAGGGGGTCGCCGGCGACTTCCTGTGGGAGCGCCACGTCCTCGGCGACAGCAGACTTTTCGTCGACTTCGTGCTGGCAGAGACGGGAGTGGCGCTCCCCCTGGATGCGTTTCCTTTTGTCGGCTTCGAGCTGCTTCTCACCGCGGGGGACGAGGTCAGCGTCGCCGACTTCGAGAGGCCGGTCGTCATGAGCGAAGACCGCGTCAAGTGCGCCCGCAGGAGGGCCACCAGCGGGGCTGACGATGAAAGCGCCGACGACCCGCGCGACCTCGGAGACGACAGCGAGTCCGACGCCTCTAGCTGCACCAGGGTGGACGACACCACATGGGAGAGCGGCCAGATCGCAACGAGCATCCGCACACCATGGGATGTCTTCGAGGAGTACCTCGCGGAGGCGCTCAGCGACGACAACGAGGAGACAGTCGCGCGTGTACGCCTCGACGCCGTGCGAGCAGTAGGGGCCCGCGAGGCGTTCGCGCAGCTCCCGCCTGAAGAGCAGCATGCCTTCGAGGAGGTATCCTTCGTCCAGCTCGCGACCCTTGCGCACTACAGGCGCTGCCATGCCCAGTGCCGCGGCCCGGACGAAGAGGAGCTGGCCACCTAGACCTGGGGCTCCCTCGACAGCGACGAGATGGGCGCCTGGGTCCCCGAGCGGCCCATGGGAGGAGCTCGGCGCGGACCCGCGCCTGGCGCCGTACCTCAGGAGCGCCAGGCGCCACAGGCGCCAGTGGACACGCTGAAGGAGCCACTTGGGGCAGCCGCCTGGAAGCGCGGGCCTTCGAGCTGCCGCAACGCTGGCAGGCTCGCCGAGCTCGACGCGCAGCAGAGCGGCGCCGCGGCTCGCGCGGACTGGAGGCGACTCGGCCGGCCTCGCGGAGTCCGCCCAGAAGCCCCACCGAGGCGGGTGGGGCCTCGCCGAGCCCGAAGGCTCAGGGCCCCTCGGGCCCTCCGCCAGCTGGCGCCGGGCCCAACGGGCACTCCTTTCTTTTTTCGCCTCGGGAAGCGCTCCAGGATCAGCAAGTGACGACGACGAAGCGGCCCTCCCCCTCCCCTCCTCCGTCGGCGGCCGACGGCCGCCGAGCTGCGCTCTGGGGCACTGACGTCGATTGCGCTTCAAATCGCGGGAAATCGCGGGAGGAGGAGGAGGAGGAGGAGGAGGAGGTGGAGGAGGAGGAGGAGCAGGAGGAGGAGGAGGAGGAGGAGGAGGAGGAGGAGGAGGAGGAGGAGAGACAAATGTGCAGACGTCGGGGCCAGTATTGAACACCTGGTCACATTTTTAGAGCGTTGCCCGCGCGACGCTGGCCTCGGGAGCGCGAGTCCGGTGCGATTTGCCGGGAATGTGTGGTTCGGCTGAGCGCGAGAATGGCGCACTCTTTACCGAGGCTTCGGGCCTCGGCAGCGCGAAGGAATCCAGAACAGCGGCTGGCCTCGGGAGCGCGACCCTGGGGTAGATTACTACGGATGCACACGTGCGATCGTGCCTCGCCGTGACGAAATATACGGATTCATACGTACGATCGTAGCTCGGAGTACATTACTACGGATCCATACATACGATACATACGACTGCTGGAATATCACAAAGAATCGTCGATCCCCACGACTAAAAAGGGTCTGTGTGCCCATAGACGCCGTGCCTCGCCGTGGCGAGAGAATGGCCCCATCCGTTCCTCATGTCGCCTCTCTTAGAGGGTAGCACGATGCTGGAGGTTCCCTCTGGGGGAAGCCTCTGGAGGAAGACGGCGCTCCTTCCTCCTACTCCTCCTCCTCCTCCTCCTCCTCCGCCTCCTCCGCCTCCTCCTCCGCCTCCTGCTCCTCCTCCTCCTCCGCCCCCCCCTCTGGCGTTCCTGCCTTCTGGCGCTCCCGGTGGCAGGCGCTCCTCCTGTGGCGGCGCTCCCTCCCGCCGTGCTTCCCTCCTGCCTCCGCCCCTCCCTGGCCGCACGGAGCACTGCTATTCAATATATTCCTATATTCAATCGTCTACCTAGCGCTGTGGTGCGAGCTGGTCAGTGAAGGGGTTTCAGCGCTCATTGCCGCGTTTGGCCAAAGGCGCTGCCGTGTCTGGAAAGCGTGAGTGGCACCAGCTTTTCCGCCCAAGCTGACGCCGCCGAGGGAATTCACTCATGACGCTATTCGTGCGTTTCATGAGGGCTTGTCGTAGGAAAGACTGCCTCCGCCCCTCCGCCCCCGCGCCTCCGCCGCCAGAGCGGGGCGGGGCCGGCGCCTCGCCGCGCAGGCGCCCCCCGCGCTCGGGGGGGCCTCTCGCCGGGCGGGGGCCGGGGCGTGGATGGGCG